ATGTCAAAGTCAAGGATTTCTATTTCATGAAAAGTATGCGAAAGCGAGTTTCAGAATATTTATGTTGGTTGGGTGCAGTGCAAGCTGTATCTTCCGCCACAGATGTTCCATTAAAATGTCCCAGTAGAAGGACCTTTTATTTTCCATTTGTCTACTCATATATATCCTATAAGGGGATTCAATGAGCACATTCCACAAAATTACAAAAATATTACTTATCTCTATATCTATATTAAGACCTTAGAAGTTGTAGAGGCTTCAGCCTCTCTTTATTTTTCCAGTAAAGATTTTTTTTTTTTTCTTTTTCCTTCTTAAATGAAGTGTTATGGGATCAAAATGAAAAGGCTCCCATGAACTTCATCTAGAGATATTAACCAGCTGAAATAGCTATCTGACCGTTTTGGAAATATGTAGATAATGAAGATGTCACTTAAGATGTACATGCATTTGGGATATGCATAGGAAAGTAATATATAGCAATGATATCTTTGATCATGGAAGGGACTCAGAAATACAGGAACCGTGTCGAGGGTGGTTATCATCAGCCCATTTTCTATTCCCCGTGCACAAATCATTTCATGCATTCTACAACCCAAGTCCTGATGTTGGGCTTCAAAAGCAATTTCAGCAGCAAAATAAGGTGCTTTTCTTCAATTTTCAAGCCATTTGTACGAGGTTAGTGTTGTTTACCCACCTGGTACACTGATATTTACATACCCCTTTAAAGAAAATTGGTAGGTATGATTTATGGAGTACTGTAAGAGCACAATTTTCCATGTAGTGCACCTAATCTGAAAGGGCGCTTGCAAAGGTCACTCTGGCCATACAAATACCAAGTCTTCTCTTTGGAATAAGTTAGGATATTCATTTTTCTTGGAAAATGTCAGCAGTACCCTACTCCAGGGGTTAGTTTATGCAGATAAATGCGTAAGCCTTTAATCTTAGAGCAAAAATACTCTACACAAATGTAAAAGCAGTCCATCTATCACTGTTAAGACTTGTAATTTGTTTTTATTTAAATCTCAAGCCAGGGCAGGGTGGGCAACAGGACTGTTAACGTGGTATCTCACACAGAAGCCGAGATCAAGATGCGTAAACACGCTTGGACTCTCAACCCGGGTGGCTGGCATGCCATGTGGCTCGCACCGCCACGACTACTCTTAGGGCTGCTTCTGCACCTGTTCCTTTGGCAGCTAGAGGCTTCCCGTCCATCCCAATGCAGGGGAAATCACCCAGGAAGTTGCCTTGCACAGCCAGCATCCTCTGAGCCTGTGAAAAAGTATTAGTCAAAATTCACCTAAATAAAATGTCACTCTTCTCATTTTTCCTTTTCATCTTTTAAAACTTTTTTTTTGGTAAGAATTATTTAACTTTATTTATTTATTTATTTTAATTTGACCAGGGAGGGATAGAGTGAAAGAGAGGGGGGAAAAAATATATATATAGAGAGAGAGAGGGAGGGAAAGTGAGAAAGCAAGCCACCAGGTCTGGGACTCCAACCATGGTCAGCCATATGGGAGTCCAGTGCCCTTAACTGCCACACCACCTGCCAGCCCTTCTTTTCATTTTTTTTTATGGATGCGTAATAATTATACATACTTATGGGTACAGGGGGATGTTTTGGGTACATGTATACAACACGTGATGATCAAATCAGAGTAACTAGAATATCCACCACTTTTAACGTTTATCATTACTTTGAGTTGGGAATGTTCAAAATCCCCTCTTGGGTGTTTTTAAATACATGGTGAAGAATTAATTAAGTATAGTCACTCTGCTATGCCACAGAACATTGGAACTTGTTCCTCTAATTAATTTTGTATCCACTGACCAACCTCTCCCTAACCCACCTTCCTCTACCCTTCCAGCCTGTAGTAACCGTTACCCTACTCTCTACTTCCATAAGATCAGCTCCCACATATGAATGAGAATATGTGGTATTTATCTTTCTGTGCTTCACTTAACATAATGTCCTCTAGGCTCATGTTGCCTCGGATGACAGAATTCTGTTTAGTGGGTAAATAGTGTTCCATATTCCATTGTATATGTCATGTTTTGTTTTCTTTTTAGGTTTTTGCCATATGGTGTGCGCTCACTGGAGAGAGAGAGAGAGAGACAGAGACAGAGAGCGGGAAAATGAGAAATCACCCCCCCCTCCCATGGGGGATGACCATACTACAATCCCTTCTCCATTCTCTTCTCAGGATTTTGGGCATGCATACATACATGCCTGGCATGATTTTCCAGCCACTGAGTCCTAGGATTTGAACCACAGTTGGCCATGTGGGAGTCCAACACCTTAACCACTACACCACCTCCTGGCCCCTATGTCATGTTTTCTTTATCCATTCATCTGTTGATGAACACTTAGGTTGATTTTGTATCTTGGCTATAGCAATAGTCTTGAAATGAACATGGAAGTACAGATACCTGTTTGACGTACTGGTTTTCTTATTTTGTTACACACAGTCATTTGTTAGTTAATGACAGGGACATGTGCTGAGAAATGCAGTGTTAGGTGGCCGCCTTGTGGTGCCAACGTTACAGGACGAGCACAGACCTAGATGGGGTAGCCTGCCACACACCTAGGCTATATGGGAGAGCCTATTACAGTCTTACGGGAGCACTGTCCTGTATGCAGTCTGTCACTGATCAAATCATCACCACGAGGGAAATGTGGTATTGCTGGATCATATGGTAGTTAACTTTTCATCCGGGTCCGGGACTCGAACTGCAGTCGACTACATGGGAGTCCGGTGACATAGCCATTATGCCAACTGCTGGTCCCTGATTTTGCCATGAGCCTATTACAGTCTTACGGGAGCACTGTCCTGTATGCAGTCTGTCACTGATCAAATCATCACCACGAGGGAAATGTGGTATTGCTGGATCATATGGTAGTTAACTTTTCATCCGGGTCCGGGACTCGAACTGCAGTCGACTACATGGGAGTCCGGTGACATAGCCATTACGCCAACTGCTGGTCCCTGATTTTGCCATCTCAATATTATCAGAGCAAAAGGAAATCATAACCATGCAGGCACTAGATTCCCTTTTGAAAATACAGGTATTAGTGTGGAAATGCAATGCACTATCATCCTATTTTATGCTTTTCAGGAGAAAATGCAACAATATACCACCTGGGATGAATCCAAGCATCATATCTAATGTATATTTTTTCCTCTTGATTTTACTCATGCTAGACATCAGTGATATTGAATTCATTTTAAAATATCAGTATTTTTTTTAAAAAGACCACCACTGAGTTTAGTAACATAGGAGAGAAACTTGTAAGGTGTTAATAGCAAAGCTTTTCTAGTCTCTGGGTGATACAGTGAAGCACAAATTGTCCAGCTTTTCTTGTCAAATGAGAAACTTGTAAGGTGTTAATAGCAAAGCTTGTCTAGTCTCTGGGTGATGCAGTGAAGCACAAATTGTCCAGCTTTTCTGGTCAAACATTTCAGTGAAGACCCTCTCCCTGTAGTAAAGGCACTCATTTTAGTAAGGTTAGTCTCCCTGAAGCTATGACACACATTACACTTTTTTCTTTTAAATAATTATTTATTTTTATTTATTCATTCAAGGAATGCTTTATCTGGCCCACTCCCATGTCCTAACCACCTCATCTCCTACCCATCTTCCCCTGGCTCACTCTGTTTCAGTCACCTCATCTCTTCAGAGTTCTCCAGTTGTGCCTCCAGGACTGTGGACTGGCCATTCCTTCTGCCTTCAATCTCCTTTCCCTGCATGGAGATAGAGAGCGGTCCCACATATCTTTCAGGTCTTTTCTTTTTGAGAACTTTTTGCTCTAGGGCACATGCACTTGCTGGAGAGACAGAGAGACAGAAAGTGAGAAATCACCCCCCAGGGGCTATGGCCGTGCCATGATCCCTTCTCCTCTATTCTCCTTTTGGGATTTTTGGGCATGCATGCACACGTGTCTGGTGTGAGCTTTAAGATGCCTGGTCTAGGACTTGAACTGCGATTGAGTACGTGGGAGTCCAGTGATGTAACCACTACACCATTTGCTGGTCCCTCTCTTTCAGGTTTTTTTAAAAACATTTCCTTCTTGGCCCTTGGCTCTGGTTCTCTAGCCTTCAGGTCCGTTCTACTACATTGATCACCATTCTCTGTTTATTTTATTCCCACATAACTTATTGCCTTGTAACAGCATAGAAGGGTGTCTTCAGGACCAGCAGTTGGTGTAATGGAAATGTCACTGGACTCCCATGTAGTCGACCACGGTTTGAATCCCCAACCCGACATGTAGTCGACCACGGTTTGAATCCCCGACCCGATGGCTTAAACCCATGCCAGGTGCGTGTGCGTGTGTGCCCAAGATCCCAAGAGGAGAGTGGAGGAGAAGGGATTGTGGTGTGGCCATCCCCTCAGGGGGTGTTTTCTCTCTATCTCCCTGTCTCTCTCTGTCTTTCTGGTGAGTGCACATGCCCTATAGCAAAAACTTCTCAAAAAAGGAGGGGAGGGTGTTTCAAAAAGTTCATGGAGGCACCAGCAGATGACATAATGGTTACATTGCTGGACTCCCATGTAGTCGACCATGGTTTGAGTCCGTCACTTGGAGGCTTAAAATTCACCAGGCGCTTGTTTATGCATGCCCAGAATCCCAAGAGGAGACTGGAGAAAAGGGATTGTGGCATGGCCATCTCCCCTGGCGGGTGATTTCTCACTTTCTGTCTCTCTGTCTCTGGTGAGTGTAAGTGTCTTATAGCAAAAAGTCTCAAAAACAAACAAAAACTGCAATGAACATGCATATTATGAAAAAATTGTGCATGGATTTCCATTTTTCCCCCATGAAAAATACACTTCTATTTTAATCCCATTTCTTCATGAACTTTTTGAAGTCCCTTGGTATGTTTTCCTCATTTTCTTGCTGCCTATGTCTCCTCAGTAAAATATAAACCCTGAGAGCCGAGATGTTTGCCTCTTTTGATTACAACTCACCCTTAGCACCTAGACGAATGCTTAATAGAGGGTAGGTCTCAGAATATAAACATTTGGCCGTCGAGCTGACAAATGGCTTTAATTACTTCTGTGGTGCCACTCATCTTGTAACTGTATTCTTTTACTGACAGGGTTTCTTCCAGAAAGTATAGGCTTCAGCATCCCCTACCCCCCCTTGTCACTACGCATCAATATTCCTTTAATGAAACTATGAACTATGTGGGAGATTAGAAGCCAGAGGTAGCCTTTCATTCATCCAGGCTCCATTTGGTCACACCCATGACCAATTGGATGATGGTCTTGACCGTGAGTGAGAAAGCCCTTAAGAGGCGAGGACCTGTAGGGGAAAGAGGGGAAAATATGCATTTGAATTCCACCTTGACTGCGCACAAGTTGAGGTCTTATGTAAACAGTGGGTTTTGTGACCCTTGTCCTTTCTCATCTGTGAAATGGAGCTGTCTTAATAGCCTGTCACAGGCAGGCAGTGCAGATGACCTGAGATAATGTCAAGTCTTATTTGAACTCTATGACATGGGTGCTGGTCATGCTTCCCATGGAAATCACAATGGGCTACATGGTATCTTGCATGTCATACGTGATTTAAGAAAATGTACCCAGTACCAGCAGCAGGTGGTGTCTTAGCGGTACTGCAACTGGATTCACGTGGAAAGGGTCCCAGGTTTACGCCTTGGGACCTCCCTGAATATGGCAGGTACATCTAGGTGCCCTTGATCTGGGCTGGCTAAGACTGGGGGTGGATCATGGTGTGAAGATTCTATGGTGGATTACTATCTCACAGCCTCTTTTTCTTTCCCTCTCTCTTGCTGAAGAAATAAATAAGTACATCTTTAGAACATGTACCTGTTGGGACCAACAGATGGCGTAAATGTCACTGACTCCCATGTAGTCGACTGCAGTTCAAGTCTCAGACTTGATGGCTTGAACTCACAGCAGGCGCGTGTGCATGCATGCTCAAAAGCCTGAGAGGAGAATGGAGGAGAAGGGATTGCAGCATGGCCATCCCCCCTGGGGGGGGGGGAATTTCTCACTTTCTGTCTATCTCTGTCTCTCTGTGAGCACATGCACCCTAAGGCAAAAATATCTCTCTCTAAAAAACAAAACAAAACAAAACAACATGTACATGTTACCTTGGATGGTGCCTGCCATGTCATAGGCAGCCGATCCGTAACGACCATAATTACTGCATGCATTTAAACATCAGCTGGATCCCCAGCCTGATTCTAAGAAACATGGTCTTAATCTAGAGTCATCGGTATTTAGTTTAATTAAATTTTATCACATCTGCTGCAGTTTTAAACACTCAAACCCAGATAATAGACATGGAGAGGAGAGGATGCAATCGGCTCCTTCAGTTTTTGCTTGTTTGCTGTAGGGTGCATATGCTCACAGGAAAAAGGGAGACAGGAGAGGGGGAAAGAGGGAGAGAGAGAGAGGGAGATATCACCCTCTGGGTGTGTTGTGTGGGGAGATGGCCATGCCACAATCCCTTCTCCTCCAGTCTCCTCTTGGGATCTTGGGCATGCACGCACACGTACCTGGCATTAGTTTAAGCCCCCTGGTCGGGGACTTGAACCGAGGTCAACTACATGAGAGTCCAGCAACATAGCCATTACGCTAACTGCTGGTCCCATTCTGGGTATGCATGCACATGTGCCCAACATGGTTTCCAAGCTGCTGGGTCTAAGACTCAAACTGTGTGGGCCACCATGTGGGATTCAGCAGCCTTAACTACCACACCACAGACTGACCCAGTTTCTGTTGTCGTTAAATTTTGCTAAAGAGTGCTCGCTGGAGAGAGATAGGAGAGAGAAAGAAAGGGAGAGAGTGACAGTGAAAAATAACTGTCACTCCCCCCAGGGTGGGGAAAATGGGTACACTACAATGCCTTCTCCTCTATTTCTCTTGTTTTCCTTTTGGGATTTTTGGGGACACATGCACACGTGCCCAATGTGATTTTCAAGCTACTGAGTCTGGGACTAGAATTGTACTGTCACCCATGTGGGATCCAGTGCCTCAAACCCCCTGCCAGAGGCTGTCCCAGTGAAATACATTTTACATCTTTTTTTTTTCAAAGAGAGATTTTTGCTATAGGGCACACATACTTACTGGAGAGACAGAGAAACAGAAAGTGAGAAATCCCCCGCCAGGGGAGATGGCCATGCCACAATCCCTTCTCCATTCTCTTCTTGGATTTTTGGCATGGACACACACAAGCCCAGTGTGAGTTTCAAGTCTCCGGACTCGAACCACAGTTGGCCATCTGAGAGTTACACAAGCCCAGTGTGAGTTTTAAGCCTCCGGACTCGAACCACGGTTGGCCATCTGAGAGTCTGCTGGCATAACCATTATGCCATCTGCTGGTCCCATTTTATGTCTTCTGTGAACAAAGTCCATTAGGGACTCAAAGCTTGTCCATCTCACTGATGACCTTAAGCATGGTTCTGTGTCCCATGTCAAGACAGAATTTGGTCTCAGAACTTAGTGCTCTTCCAGAGCTATTTAAAGTAGGTGTCCTTCCCTCAGGACTGTTCATACTCCCCTATAAGCATGCTTTTCTATAGATGCCAAGGCCTAACTAGACTTTGGGAAAGTTGGTTGCCTTACCTAGTTGGGGAAATGAAATTCTCTTACTAAATCCAAGCTGGCATTTCTCCTCCCTCTTTTCTTTAAAGCTCCTCAATTCATAATTCTTTAAAAACAGAGGAGCACACTGTTTTTATTTATGCAGTGAGTATGTGCAGGGTTGAGAGACAGCTCTGGTGAGAGCACTTGGGAACTTCAATATACTATGAGTCCCACTTCCGGTGCCCTTGATGGTGCAGCGCTCTTTCTCTTCCCCGTTGATGGGAAACTCCTGGGGACACAGATGCTGGGCCAAGGTCCAGGATCTACTCCTCAGTAAAGGCCCTTGATCGGGCAGCAGAGCAGCATCTGAGGACTCACAAAGTTTGCCTCCCTCTGTTTTGAGCCTTGTGGCAGCAAAGAAATACCAGACGTGCTTTCCCAGCTTCCTCCTGGAAAGGGCCCTTGCAGCCGGAGGACTGGCATTTTCCTGCATTTCTGGTTTAATTAATGTCTAAGAGATGAACTTTGCTTCCCACTGACAGCAGCATAAATTAGATGGAATTAAATCCAGTGTTCCTTTTGATTTCTGCTTTTTTTTTTTTTTTTTTTTTGCTTGCTGGTCATTTTTTTCTCCCTCAGATAGTACAAACATGTAATAGAATTGTAGACATGAAACACATAAAAATCTGGTTTTTGTTTTTGTTCTTGTTTTTTATGCTAGAGGATGTGTGTGAGAAAGAGATTGAGAGAGAGCAGGGCTTGGTCACATCGCAACCCTCTTCCTTCTGGTTTTCTATCCTGTCAAGATCCTAGGCACACATGGAACACACCTGGTATGAAACCAGTTAGGATAGGATTTGAACCCCATCTCGCCATATGAGATCCAGCTTTGTCTGCATAGCGCCCCACTGCTGTGCTACAGGCCAGCCCCAAGGCTGTCATTGGATACCAGCATTCTGAAATCCCACAGGCCTCTGTGTTCCTGGACATTCCTATCACTGTCTGGGTTGGGGGCTGCAAAGCGAAGTAGAAACCCTGGGAATCCGAGAGGTGGTGTTCTTTGATGTTTCTCTGGGCAAGTTTGAGCTGCAATGATACCGTCTCGGTTAAGACTGCCAGCACTGGACTATGCAAAGGACCAGGCACATGGGGGTAAGTGTAGTCTCCCATGTATTGCAGAGGGCCCCTTCTCAGCTCACTCTCCTGTCATTACAGAATTGAGTACTGTGTGGACTCTGTAGACCTTCAGAGGTCTTCATGCTGCCATCACCCCACGAGGAAGATACTTCTTACAGCTCAGTTAAAAAAAAAATACACCCAACAAATGAGGGATGCTTATCTCAAGGCCACGTGTGGGTTCTGAGTTTCTGATGGAGAGGCCCTGTGTTGCACTGGTTAAAGAGAACACTTGACTTAGACTCACCCGCGTATTAGCTCTGTGATTTTAGGCGAGTTATTGAACATCAGGGGTCTCATTTTCCTCATCTGTGCGAAGGGGCTGATGATTGTCTACTCTGTAGGCTCCAGGTGAAGACTGAGATTGGCCATATAAACAGCCATAGAGCTTAGCTGTTGAGTGACTACTTAATAATGAGAGGTGGTTGTTGATACTGTGGTGATGCTCAGAGATACGCCGGCCCTTTGTTAGACCCAATGCCAAGAACAAGGATGGACCTGGACCTGGTGGCTTGCTTTTTCACTTCCCTTCTCTCTCTCTTCACCCTCCAAGACCTCTTAAGAACTCATTAGAATCATAAAACTAAGAAAATATGACATAAAAATAGTAAGCAAGAACCAGCTGATGGCTTGGTTATTAAGGCACTGTATTCCAGCATGGCTGACCACAGTTCAATCCTCGATCCAGTGACCTGAAAATCATGCCGGGTGCATGGGTATGTGCAGCCCCCAAATCTAGATATGAGAATGAAGAAGGGATTATGGCATGACCATCCCCCTTGAGGGATGATTTCTCACTTTCCCTCTGTCACTCTCTGGCACTTGCACGCACCCCATGGCAAAAACAAAAACTAAAAAAAAAGGAATCAAACTGACTTTAGTTGAGGCAGTAAGACTGGCTGTGAACATCCCAAAAGGCTTCTTGTGAACCTCACAAGTGCCAGTCAGGGAGTTCCTGCTGCTCAGTGTACCAAAGCGCTCTGAAGTTGTTTGCACAGAGCTGTGACACTCAGATCCCAGAAGCAATGGTCCCACTGGGAGTATCGAGTCTGGTCCTGGGGGCAACTCTAGGCTTTTTAAAAGGACTATTGACCAAGTAGGGAGGGACCTGGGAAAGTTGACTGAGAGGGTAAGGGGGCACACGGGAGCTACATCTCATGAGAAATGAAGGACTAAATGACATGGTGGATTCCCTGCGGCCTAGAAGGGTAAGTGGTGAGTGTTTGCTGTCAGAAAAAGGGACACACATTTGTTTTGTGTCCCTTTAGAATAGCCTAGCAACAATTGGGAGAGGGTCCAAAGAGAAAGTTGTGAGCCCAGATTTAGAATTAATTTCAAAATCAGTGGGTCTGCCTCTTAGTGAAGTCTCTTTTTTGAAGAGTATTAGAAGTCTATTCAGTGGAAGGACTGTTTCTCTGGGAGGTCCCTGAAGGGCAACCTCATGATTGGGGATGGTTAGACTGGCTGGTTTTCAAGGTCCCTTCCAAAACAAAATTCTGAGAACAATTTTTCTTTTTTGCCTATTTTTGCAGGGAGAGCTTGCTTACATGAGGTTTGTGCACTAAACTTTCCTCTTTTTTTCTATAGTATCTAGATTTCTTCAATGAGTCTGAAATAGAAATTTATGTGCTACGCCTATCAAAGAAGCAGTTTTTCCACTAGGGGATGTTCTTTAGAGAATTGGAAGCATTAAAAATGCATATTCCAACCCCCCTCCGTTTAAGGAAAAAAAAATCCCTTATGTTCTTCAAAAGCAAAATAGGGGAAAGGATTCATATGGAAATCCCAGTCTTTGAAAGTGAAGTGTGACAGCCACTTCACATTGTTACCACACAGCCACCCAAAGTAGTGCAAACTGGATGCGCTTCCAAACAGGCGGTTAGTTTGCCATCGAAGCATGACCAACGCCTCAGCTAAAACAAGCAAACAAGCGGCTGAACATGTTAACATAATTTTCTATCATTTCTATTTGATGTGGATTGGGTGGAAAGTCTGGGATGCGAGCCATGATGTAGATTTTTCAAAATTGATTAGCGTTTTTTTGGACATTGGCAGCCATTTCTGTGGCATTTCAACGTGAGTTAAAATTGATTAGTGCATTTGGAAAAATGTGTACCAAATTGCTGTGCAAATTGAGGCAGCTCCAAACATACGATAATGACAGGATGAAGGCATAGAGTAGAATATGAGCTATCCATGCCACTCAAGCCATTCTGGTGAGATGAGATCTCAGGGAAGAGGGTGTGAATGGTTCTATGTAGTTTTAGATGAGCTGTTGGTGCTTGTCGAACACTTAGACTCTACTTGTGACAATGTGTAAAATGGGTTGAATGCTTGTAGGAGAAAGGTTGTGTGGTTCTTTGTCATAACACTAATCATGGGTAAACTCATTTCAGTTGTTAAGATGAAGTTAGCATGTAGATGAGATCTCAGGGAAGAGGGTGTGAATGGTTCTATGTAGTTTTAGATGAGCTGTTGGTGCTTGTCGAACACTTAGACTCTACTTGTGACAATGTGTAAAATGGGTTGAATGCTTGTAGGAGAAAGGTTGTGTGGTTCTTTGTCATAACACTAATCATGGGTAAACTCATTTCAGTTGTTAAGATGAAGTTAGCATGTAATCTTTGCACTAATCATGGGTAAACTCATTTCAGTTGTTAATGTGAAGTTAGCATGTTATTATGCAGAAATTCCATTGTAAACAGGTTGGATGCCCAACTCTTTTTTAAAATTTTGGTGGTTTTAACAATTGTCATACTAGGGGCTGGCAGGTGGCATGATGGTTAGAGCACTGGACTCTGACATGGCTGACTGTGGTTCAAGTCCTGGACCTGGTGGCTTGCTTTTTCTCTTCCCTTCTCTCTCTCTTTCTCTCTCTCTCTCTGTATCTCTCTGGCCAATTTAAATATTGATGATGATGATGATGAGTAAATTAGATAATTCTTTAAAAAGAGAATAATAAAAAAGAAATGGTCATGCCAGATATTGAGTCAATGCCAAAAGACTCTAAATGGAAGTGATAAATTGGTTGCAGTTTTGCAATTCTTGATTCCCTTCTGTGTGCCACATACAATCACAATTCTTAGAGCCACTGTGTCCCTTTTTTGTTACCAAACATAGGCGGAAAGTTAAGAAATGAGTCATAGCAGGGCACATCTCAGAAGAATGAGAAACTTCAAAGGTCAGCTTTTCTTGCTTGTCAATAGTTGACATTTAAGCATTTATTTCAGACGTTGCTGATAATGTTTTTTGAGATAGTCAAGAAGAATTGCTGTGTTGGTATGCAATTATGTTCCTAATGAAATGCAAAAATGCAAATATGGTGGTACGTGCCAGTTCTTTGGAGTGTCTTTTGTCAGAATTGCAGGCACCATGAGACTTTGATAGATACCATGTCACTATGCAGAGTTGGAGAGCTGATAGCTTTTAAGAAAGCATCTAAAACATCATATCTCCAGATGCTAATTAGCAGGAACCTTTAGCAATGATAAATGTAGAGGTCATTTTTTTTTTCTTGGTAAATTCTGACATCTTCATTGAACCAATTGTATCAATAGGATTTGTCAGTAGATGCAGCAAACATCTTCATCCTTTTTAAATTTAATGTGCCATATTAAATGCATTATATATTCATAAGGGAAGCTACTAGAAGGCTACCTTGCATGATTGATTTTTTAAAAAAAGTTTGTTAAAAATGTAAATCAGAATATAACTCATTAATGGACTCCATCAGGCACTTTCAAAGATGAAAAAATGTACAGAAAAAATATTATATGCTTTGACAAGAAAATAACAAAAAATCCTATGTAGATGATGGGTTGAAAATTATTGCATGTTGCAGGCTATTATACTTGTTAATCTGATATGATTTTCAAGAATCACAAGGTAATTATAGCCACGGAAATGGCATGATAAAAAGGGCATGAAGCAAATCCTTATTTTCAGAGCTGCTTTCTCCACAAGCAAAGTATTTATGCTGAATTCCCACAATGGCTGTGGGAAATGACAGCATGGAGCAATGAAGGATCTTGGTCATTAGAGAGAAATGCGCACTAAGACATGTTTCAACAAACATCCCATGACTGTCTACACAGTGCCATGCTCTGGCTAGATAAGGATGAATGTGACACAGCCACTCCAGCCGAGAGCCCTGTGGTCTATCAGGGGAGTCAGATATGAAATGAACTCTTACTCTACAAAATGACTAAGGCCATAGAGAGCTATGTGCAAGGGACACTGAAGTGCTGAGGAAGGGGTCCTACATCCTTGGTGGCCTGGCACCCCTAATGAGGGTCTCTGACCTTAGCCTGTATATGCTTTGTCAATTCCCTTCTTCCTGTCTCACACGTTGACTCCAGAGAAAGGGAATAGTCTACTTTCTGCCTGTATTGTAGTGAGACAACCAGGAAGTCCTGCAAGGGTGTTATTCTTTCCCCTTTGCCTTGAGGTTCAGTATGAAGAAGAAGCTAGGCTGCAGTCAGATTCCAATTTGCCATAGGGGTGAGAAATTCCACAGTATCCACTAACCTCAGTCCCATTCTCCAATGAAAAGCCCCACATTTGAAAAGGAATATTAAAAGACATAGAACTCTCTCATCTCTGTACATCTTACTTTGTCCAGAATCTGGGAAGGAAGGGGTAAGAGAGATCCTGAACTTCTTGTATATATGATGAACCACCAAAGAGAAACCAACACAGGCCCTTACCTGATTTGGAGAAATGTACTCTCCCTATTGAGATGGGTTTCAAGGGATAGTTCTTCCTCTCGGCCCTGGGAAGGTATGTGGCATGCAATCCTGCAAAACACGTGAAGAGATACATGAGATGAAAAAGTCACATACTGGGAAAAACTGCCAGATGAGGAGTAGAGGCCTTCCTCTACTGGCAGTGACATTGGTGGTGGACAATAGTGGGTGAGAAGAGGTTAGTCAGAGTGCTCACCTGTGAGGGAGACTGGTGAAGTGGCCTCCTACTCTTTTCATGTCCACACGTCCAGGGTTCCTCACTATGACACCAACACCTTCATGGGCAAACTAGACCAACAGGGGGGTAACACCTTCTTTGAGAAACAACTTCCCTCACCAGTCTTTCACTATTTCCAGCACATGGAAGCCAGAACTGCACACCTTCATGGGCAAACTAGACCAACAGGGGGTAACACCTTCTTTGAGAAACAACTTCCCTCACCAGTCACTATTTCCAGCACATGGAAGTCAGAACTGCCTGCAAATTGTTCTAGGTTGATGTCTTCACTAGAATGACGGATCTTAAAAGGTCAAGGACTACATTGTACCATTAGCTGTAAGTCAAGTGCCAATCTACCACAGTGACCCCATTAGAAGGTAAACTGAGTCACAGATTTGAAAAATTTGTTTGAGCAAACAGTGAATCATCAATCAGGCAGCTCCAACCAGAAGTGGGTTGGGGATCTCTGCCCAGAAACACTAAGAAAGCTTTTATAGGGCAAATACAGTTATATTGTTGCCTTATTGGAAGTTACTAATTATATAAGTTGGTTGGTAGTTTATGATTGGTAACCTCAAGTCTTACTTTTCTTTAATATAGGCATTTCCAAGAAATAGCCCAAGTTACATTTTGCTTGTTTACAAATCATGCAAGGTTAAGGTCACTTACGAGATTTGACTGGCTAAGTCTGCTCAGGGATGTTTAGATCTGGTCTCCATTTTCATGTACTATAATAGCCCACACAGAGTAGATATTACAGAAATAGGGACTAAGTGAATAAAAAAAATTGTAAATATTTTTAATGTTTATACCTAGTATGGCTCAATAGCAAAAATGCAAAATGTGAGAAATTATGTTAAGAAGTAGAAGCGAAATCAGAAAAAAAAATCCAAATCTGAAATCATTTTTTTCTGCTTTACCAGGTTATCAATGGCTTTCACATGGCTTAAGCTAGCTAGTATTTGATCTGAAGGTATGAACTCTTTTCCAGGGAAGAATTTCATTCTGCCAAGCACAGATCAAGAAGTCACATCATATGCAGAGCAAATGAAGGAATTGGAATTATTTAACCAGGAACTGAAAGGATATTGAAGAGCATTATAGCTGTCTCTAGCTGTTTGAAGGAAGGCTATAGAGATGCCATATCAATGAGAAATTTTGTTTTCAATGCCCTCATCATAGCTCAGATTTAGACCAATGTGTACAAGCTTAAAAGGGATAGATTCAGTATAGGCAAGATAGTTCTAAGGGCTCCCCATTATAGCACATGCAGAACTTCAGAATGGATGATCCTTTGTTGACTTAGCATGTGGGGGATTCTGTTACTAGTTAGGTGGTTGGAATCACTGGCTGAATTGTAAGACCCTTTTCACTCCATAGGTGAAGACCAGATGATGCTAAGTTGCAACTGGGTATGCTGATAATTTCAGCTTTACTCTTATAAGAGTAATGTCTAGTAGGAACTATGAGAGGGTCAATAAAAGGTTCACGGTTTGAGTCCCGGACCTGACGGTTTGCTCTCTCACTTTCCTCCCTCTCTGGTCAAGGTAGAAAAAATAAAATAAAATAATGCTAAAAGTGCACAAAAATCCCCCAAACAAACCCATGATATTAGCTGGAGTGTCATTTATTCCAGGGCTGTAGTGTACCAGTGTGGCCAAGAATATTCAGTCAGCAAAATGTGGGGTGTAGTATAAACATGCCCCACATTGACTAAAGTTTAAAATAATTTTTTAAAAACCCTTATATATTCTGGTGTCTCATGATCAGGATCAAGATGGTAGGAAGGGCAACAATTGGTGTCTACAATGTGACTAACTATGAGTACAAGTGGGAAGAAGTAATCTTACGAGAGAGCAAAAGTTTGGGTCCTTTTTTTTTTTTCTTTTTAAGATGAACCAAGTTTTGCTGTTAATTATGACCTAGTTTTCACATTCTGGAGACACATATTTCTGACTGGATGTCAGGGATTCAATAGCAAGTAAATTGTATGCCTAGGTCGCTACTTCGATAGAAGACTTCTATTTCAGAAAGAAAATGATACCACAGACATTGCATTTCAGGGTGATAATTGCACTTCTCAGGTGGTTAAGCAAAAGAGGATCTACAAATAATAATTAAAAAGTTGTGCCCCAAGGGAATAGGGATGTCAGATATGAAACTCAAACATATGAAATGTTAGACTTTGGGCTTGACCTCATTCCACTGTATTCAGTATTATAAATTCTAACTACGTTTATGTTTCAATATGTGGAGGTGACAATTTGAGGGTACATCAGGGAGAGGAGAGTCAACATTTATGCTTGTGTCTGAAGCCACCTTCTTGATGACATAGTGTCTTCTTCCTCAACACTTTAAAAAGTGTCAGGCTATTAACACTCATAATTAATCAGCTCCACATTGTCCTCTGAACTTTTAGAGGCATGTGGTTGGACGAGAATTAGTCTTTACTGTCTTACCCCAGAACATGATTAGAGGAGGTTAGGTAAGTCCATGGTTCAAATTTGCCACCGCCTGGCTATATCTGACTCAAAGAGATGTTGAAATTAGTTTCTGTTGGGACCAGCAGTTAGTGTAATGGCTATGTCACTGGACTCCTATGTAGTTGACTGCAGTTCGAGTCCTGGACCTGGTGGCTTAAACTCAGGCCAGGCACATGTGCATGCATGGGCAAGATCCTGAGAGGAGAATGGAGGAGAAGGGATTGCAGCATGGCCATCCCCTGTAGGGGGTGATTTCTTGCTTTCTGTCTCTCTGTCCCTCTCTTTCTGGCGAGCGTATGCACCCTATAGCAAAAACCTCTAAAAAAAAAAAAATCTAAGGAAAAAAATTAGTTTCTCTTACTTAAAAATCAGAAAAATTTAAAGAAAAATCTGTATTTTTCTTTGTAGGGCACTGGTGGTGGTGGTGGTGGATGGGAATGAAAGGAGCTGACAATGCTGACCTCACTGCCCTGCCTGGCCATGAACTGTCTCTCCTGGACAGCCAACCGTGAGTACATCAGTCTATCAGTATCACCTGTGGGTGGACATTACTCATTTTATTGCTGCTACCAAACTCACCCCTGTGTGCATTTGAGGTTGTGTTTGATTTTAAATCTGAAGGAAGTCCTAACTGGCCATATTTTCCCCAGATCTAAATAAAGCCAAAGCTCACAAAATGAGGATAGTAGACCTCCAGGTCAACTCTCTTTGAAAAACTCTGCTAATGACCAGGGCAAAGATGATAAAGATGTGGTCCTCTTCTCAAAGAAGTCAGAGCCGCCTGAGGGTCACATATAGAGACAGAGGGTGATGAACTAACAGAGGCTGGAATGCAATAGAGCACGTGCAAAAGGCCTTGGGACCAAAGGGAGAGTGACTCCTTGTGCTGAAAGAGAGGGCAACCCCTGTGATAGGCCTTGGAGGCCAAACAGATGATTTCCTTATAGAAGGAGGAGACATGGCATTTCAGGGGGCCCGAGAGCACAGTGTGTTGGAAGGATTAATAAATAGCTCCTGTGCAGGGAAGGTGGGAAGATGGTAGAAAATGACTCATGCATGAGATCATACTAAGCAGTTTAGTCTTTAACGTTTATGAAATAGGGAAGCCTTGACGACAACAAACAGAGAAGTTGTGGTTGGTTCATTTGCCTTTAGAAAGAAGACTTGGGGCCAGCAGGTGGTGTGGTGGCTAAGGTACTGGACTCCCACATGGCTGACTACGGTTCAAGTCCTGGACCTGGTGGCTTGTTTTTTTTTTTTTTTTTTTTTTCTTTTTCTCTCTTTGTGTCAAATTAAAAATAATAATAATAAAAATAAAATAAAATAATTCCTTAAAAACCAGAGAAAAGACTTTGCACAGTTGCTAAAATGTAGGTTTCTTCAAAGGCAAGCTGTGCTAGTGCCATGAAGACAAGATGGTCTTCAGGTTAGCAGTAAGGATTCAGCATAGCACATCCTCTGTGAGTCAGGAGGGTTTAGTTAAGGACAGCACAGGCGCGTGGCGTTTTTCTGACCGTGGTGGCATTTTGTGTGCCACGTTGCACTAGGGTACAGCTATCTGAGTGTACCAGAGGACTGCCAACGACGGCAGTTCTCATCAGCCGTCAGGTATTCTCATCAGGTATTCCCTGCCACCGCCATATGCCGCCCCTTGGACAATGGGGATAGACAGATGAATAGAGTGTGTGCGCTGCTGTCAGCAGCATCAGTTGGGATCCAAAGAGTGCCTGGGACTATCACCACTATTACCAAAGCTCCCTGGAGTTCAGTCTGAGGTCCTCGTTTCAAATGAGAAACTACAGGAGTGAGGATGACGCCAAGAAGGGAGCCCTGTGTACGTGCGTGGTGATCTTGAGAAATGGCGGCCAGTTGATATTGCGATAACGCGACCGGGCTGAGTTGAAGGTGGTGCAGCCGTCTGTTTCCATGTGCAGAAGGGGGACCGCACTGCTGGGGAGTCGTGCTGTGGAGACAGTCCTGACTGGGTGAGGCAGGGGTGAATGCACAGCGCATTCCATCGGAGTCTGCGTCAGTCTGAGGGCATGGGCAGCGTGCTCTGGATGGGACAGATGGCACCCTGCATCTGGAAAGGGCCTTGAGCGGTCTTTTCATGTTCAAAATTAAGTGTCCTACGTGCGACTTCGTAAAATGATGTGGTGTATTGTCGTTACGGATCAAAGAGCTTCTTTAGATTGTCAGCTTCTCTGGGGGATGCTCAGTTTTGCTGTAATTTAATTTTTAACTATTTTAAAATTTATGTTTAGTCGCCGTACATCTTTACAACATGCAAAATGTTGTTTCTCAGCATGAATACAGTGCATATTAGTCAAGTCGTGGATATTACCATGTACATTGTTATCAACAGATACATTTTCATTTTGGTTTATGTTAACTGTTCCCCCCATCTCCTCCCTTGCCCATTATCCACTTTCGCTTATACTGTTCCTAGTATTTTCGGTTGCCCTTCCTGCTATTATACCTTCCAATCTTTCAGTTTCTGCCATAGAGTACAGACATTTGGTATATATTAAGTGGGGACTATGGTTTTGCCATTTTTCTCTCTGATTGATTGTGT